AAGAGAAGACAGAGGGGACATGATAGCAGTTTTCAGGTATCTAAAAGAGTGTCATAAGGAGGAGGGAGAAAACTTGTTCACCTTAGCCTCTAAGGGTAGAACAAGAAGCAATGGGCTTAAACTGCAGCAAGGGAGGTTTAGGCTGGACATTAGGAAAAAGTTCCTGTCAGGGTGGTTAAACACTGGAATAAATTGCCTAGGGAGGTTGTGGAATCTCCATCTCTGGAGATATTTAAGAGTAAGACATTTATCTAACCATCAGGGATGGTCTAGACCAGGGGTCGGCAACGTTTGGCACGCGGCTCGCCAGGGTAAGCACCCTGGCGGGCCGGGCCAGTTTATTTACCTGCTGACGCGGCAAATTCGGCCGATCGCGGCCTCCACTGGCCGCGGTTCGCAGTCCCGGGCCAATGGGGGCGGCGGGAAGCGGTGCGGGCGAGGGATGTGCTGGCCGCAGTTTCCCGTCCCCGTCTCCCCCCCATTGGCCCGGGACGGCGAACTGCGGCCAGTGGGGGCCGCCATCAGCCGAACCTGCCGCATCAGCAGGTAAATAAAATGGCCCGGCCCGCCAGGGTGCTTACCCTGGCGAGCCGCGTGCCAAACATTGCCGACCCCTGGTCTAGACAGTATTTGGTCCTGCCATGAGGGCAGGGGACTGGACTCTATGACCTCTCGAGGTCCCTTCCAGTCCTAGAATCTATGAATACATGCATACAAATACAAAAATGCATACTAAATCCAAACGGCTAGCATTTAAAACCCAAATCATAAATTGCAATGTATGAAATGGTAGTTAAAGGAAACGAAATTTATGCAAAGAAACAAACATAATGGCACTAACTACTTTGTGCGACTTGAAACGTGAACCTGCATAGAAGAGATCTATTCATAATATATTTTATTAGAAGAGCTCTTCATTCTCTAAATTGAGCATTAGATGGTAATCAACCAAATATCTGTATCCTTTATACGAGACTGCCCCATCCCCCAGGAAAAAAAGATTTCATTTTTTGCTTTGGGTAAGAATTGATAACATACCTGAAGCGAGAATGACAGCTGAGTTTGTGCGCTTTGCGAAGATGCAGAGTCAATGTGTAACACCAGGAATAACATTTCTGACAGATGTGACATTTATATTTTAGATTGCCATTATTCTGAGGAAAAGATGGTGTGGAAATCAGTAATTGAGGTTGATGATAAATACAGACAGTAAAATTAAAGTAAGAAAAAATTAACATTAACTATATGTTATACTCCTGTAATACTTACATTATTTTCTAAGTACACATTTTTAATAGATAACCTCCACTGAACATTGCAATTTCGGATCTAAAATTATACTGCAGATACCTCAGTCTTATTGATAGCAGGGTCTATGGCTTCCCCTCAAGCAACTGCAGCTTAAACAAACATCAGCTGGACAGTACTGGATTGCAATACATCAGCCATTATAACCAGGGCCAGCTTTAGTGAAAATGGTGCCCTGGGCGAACTTGTATTTTGGCACCCCCTTCCCTCTCCCCTCATCACCCCTGGCTCCTACAGGCTCCCTGGGCTCCCCCCCAACCTCTGGGCCATTACCTATACTTCATATGGAATGTCCACAGGAAAGTCCATTCAATGTAGATGGGCATCACCCATGGTCCATTGCGAGTTAAGTGTCCCTTGATGAGCCACTTACTTCGACTAGTCCCTTCAAGATGTGCTGGCTAACTATCTTGTGGGCGTTACCCCAGGAGCAAACATTTGAAATACAGGTATAGAGTCAATACTTATAACTTCAAGTACAAAAATGATACACGCATACAGATAGCATAAACAGATTCAGCAAATCATAACCTTTTCATAGACATCTTACATGCCACATTTTGTAAAAGATTTGTTGCAAATATATAACAGTGGTTGCAACAATGATCTGCATGGTCATGTTTTAATCAGATAACGTCACAATGAGTAACTGCTATAACTAGCAAATTCCTAGGCCACTGTCAGCAGAAGCGCAGGTGGCATGGTATATGGTGTATTGCCACACTTACTTCTGTGCTGCTGCAGTGGCTTGTGGTGCCTGGCGCTTGGCCTGCAGCTCAAGGCAGGCTTCGCGCTGTCACATGGGGACTGCAACTTGCCAGAGCCCACAGCCCTCCTGCGGCCCCTAGCCACTCTTGGCTCATTTTGACAGGAAGTACCAAGCAGTAATAACAACAATAAAACGTGTGTGTGTGTGTGTGTGCGCGCGTGACAGAGAGAGAGTAAGTGAGTGTGAGAGAGAGAGAGAGAGAAAAAGCCAGTGTGTGTGAGAGAGAGAGACAGAGAGAGCGCCAGTGTGTGTGTGTGTGACAATCTGTGTTGGGGGACTGTGAGAGGCAGAGTGTATGTGGGTGTGAGAGCCTGTGTGTGTTAGGGAGTTTGAGAGTCAGTGAGCGCACTGTCACTTTAAGTCCCTCCTCCCCCCAGCTCAGCCCAGCTTCCCCCAAGGAAGTTTCGCTTCTCCTGGCCGGCCCTGTCAGAGACTGAACGGTGCAGGGCCACAGGCAGGGAGGGACTTGGCTCCACTCTGGGCAGCGAGTGGTGGGCCACGCTGCTTTGGGCTCCCCAGGGCCTGTGCAGAGCCGGGGCCCTCAGCCACATGGCTGAGTAGAGTGTGGGACGGGGCAGGGGGGCGGCACGGGGGAGGGACCGGAGAAGAGAGGAGTCCAGCCACAGCCAGCCAGGGGAAGCCCAAGCCCCTTATGGCAACCCCCTGGCTACAGCGCCCCGGGCTTGGGCCCCGTTTGCCTGGCCCTGATTAGAACTCAGACAAGTTCAAAAACCACATAATAAATATGTACCAGTTCTAGTTCTGTTATCGTGTGCTGTACTAGTTCTAGGGACAGAGTGCAGTAAATTGACACAGAAATATATTCCTTCAAATATTTTGCTTCTCAGGATAGGAATGGCTTGTTGATTTACAGGAAAGAAAAACATGATATTGGCCCAGTTTTCAAGATTGGGAACATGCAACTGTGTACAGTTAATTTATGCACCCAAATAGCCTAGATGCAAGCACAAGGCAGGTATTTTGACATACACATGCATTTTGAAAATCAGCCCCTATTGTCTATTAAAAGATGCTTCCGTCTACTCTTTTAATACCCACCATATGTGCTCTCTTGTAATGCTGTCTCAAGATCTGTGAAGTCCGTGAAGTAAAAACACATCCTTCTACATCACAGCTGTAGGCATTTGAATCATTGTGTGTTTCAACATGTTTATGAAGATCATAAGCATTCTTAAAACTGAGGAGCATATAGGTGAAACAAATTACTTTTACTGTTCAAATAACAGCAATAATAGCAGAGAGGGTGTGGTCTAGTACAGTGGTTCTCAACTTTTTTGGGCTCAGGACCCCTTTTTAAATGTTTATGGCCTGCAGGGCCGGTGCAAGGATATTTTGCGCCCTAGGCGAAACTTCCACCTTGCGCCCCCGCTCCCCCTGCCCTCCCCCCGGAGCATCTATTATTATAAACTTTCAAAAATGAATACAGTGGAGTCACATCTTACGCGGGGGTTAGGTTCTAAAGTCAGCGCGTAAGAGGAAAATCACGTATAGTGAAAATTACCATAAAGTATAGTACACTCAGTATACACAGGATACACTGTATACACTAGAACAGGGGTCCTCAACCTACGGCACGCGAGCCGATTTTTTTTTAAATGGCAGGCTGCGGGTCCCGGCCGTCGCTGAGCCTGCGGCCGGCCTGGGGTTCCGTTCACTCAGCCAGCAGCGGGCTGAGCGGGTCCGGCAGCGGGCTGGCGGCCGGGACCCCGGCTGGCAGGAGCCGGCGGCCGGAACCTCAGACTGGCAGCGGGTTCAGCGGCTGCCGGGACCTGCAACCTGCCATTAAAAAAAAAAAAAAAAAAAAAAAAAGATCTGCTCGCGTGCCACCTTTGGCACGCGAGCTGTAGGTTGAGGACCTCTGTTCTAGTGTATACAGTGTATCCTGTAAAAAGAACAGGAGTACTTGTGGCACCTTAGAGACTAACGTGTACTGTGCTTTATGGTAATTTTCACTATACACGATTTTCCTCTTATGCGCTGACCTTAGAACCTAACCCCCGTGTAAGATGTCACTCCACTGTAGTGTTAAATTTTTTTGGGGCACTGCTTTTTGGCGCCCCCAAATATTGGCACCCTAGGCGGCTGCCTAGTTCGCCTAGTGGTTACACCGGCTCTGATGGCCTGTTGCAACCCAGTAAATACTCTGAGGGTGGAGGCCCTGGGATGGTTTTGGTTGGATCCTGCCCCCCCACCTGGGGGAGGGGAGGGTTGGGTCCTGCCCAGCACTCACCTCATAGTGGCAGCACCTGTGCTGTGGGGCTTGCTGGGTTTGGCTCTCAGCTCCAGGCTTTGCAACCTCAGGGATTGCAGCGTTACTCAAGTTTGGCCCTGCCCCCCTGATTGGACCAAATTTGTCTGAGTGGAGTTGTGATCTGGCTCATAGGGTTGCAGTGCCACTCACTCAAATTTGGTCTACCCAGACTCCTGTCATGATAGCTGGGCCAAACCTGAGTGGGAATATACTTCCACATTCTCATTATTATAGTTTGAGGGTAATCTCTGATTCTACTTTCTTCCTAGGCATCCAGGCTACGTCCAAATCTTGCCACTTTTTCCACAATAACTTTTCAATGATCCATCCACGCCTCTCTGTCCTCTAAAACTCTTGTCCATGCACTGATCAAATGTTGTCATAATAAGAGCAACTTCCTCCGCTCTAGTCCCTCAAATATTCATATTACTCCCTCCAGTCTACCTAAAACATGCACATGAAAGTGTTATCCATTTATCTGACCTCTCCTGGAATCCATCCCTGCATCAGGTTTAAACTTCTTATCCTCCCTTTCAAGGCCCTATTTATTTCGGCCCCTGCCTATATACATAAGTGTCCTAAATCATTAAGTCTTCCTCCCTTTGCTCCATCAGTGATGCCACCGTCAGTGTTCCCTTTGACTGAACTGGAAAAAGTAAAGAAGGTTGTGAGAGCCACCAGGAAGTTAGAGACTCAAGTGGGGAGTGGAAAAATAGAGGTAGCTGAGAGGAAATGGGTAAAATGATCCAGCGGCAAGAGGACAATTCAGAAGAGGAGCATCTGGCTCTCACAGAAATATCCAGTAACCCTTGCAGCTGACCAACTGAGGGGGGAAATAGTTGCTAAATATGGCCTAAATTGATCATTGATGACCTTTTCTTACAGTATGCATAGTCTTACCCGGAAGACATCTTTTGGCACTAGAAACAAAGTATCATTCCTACTTCCACCATAAGTTCAAGAAGTGCCTTTATGTGTTCCAGCAGACCAATGGATCAGTCTACCTACTTATTTATTTTTTTGAGCTAAGGGTTGCTATTTTAAGGGCTGAATGTTTTTCTTACTTTTGTTACCTCTTACATTCATTGAACACTGAATTATTTCCACACTTCTGTTGATTAGCTAAGAGTTCCAAATCTTCTTACCTACTCTCACAGAGATCACAGTGGAAAGGGCGTTCATCACAGTGTCGGAATCTGATGTGCGCTTTCAGAGAGGAGACACTTGTACATACCGTATCACAAAATGGACATGTAACATGGGTAACTGGAGAAATAATAATACTTTTATTTCTATGTCACTCCTTTGCCAAGACACTCAGTCTGTGGTGCAATATGATAAAAACATTTAGAAAAACCCATTCACACTAAAATTAACAACTAACGCTAATTTGGGTATACAATGCATAAGAAAAAAAAAGGGGAAAAGAAAGAGAACAGAGGGGTAATAAATATGGGCCAAATAGTGGGCATTCCAATAAACATGCACGTGAAAAAGCATTTTGAGGTATTTTCAAAACGTAGATGGAGAGAGAGACAAATTTCAGAGGGGAAGGGGGAGTTTGTTTCACTCTCTAGGGCCTAGTAAAACAAAGGCCTAATTGCCTACTTGCTTATGGCACAATGGTGGGAATTCGTAAAAGGTGGATGTTGTGAGAGTGCATGCAACAGGAAATTCTGAATGTAGGCAGGATCTACATGGTGGGGAGTTTAAAGAAGTGTGTCATTTTATAATCTGATGCTTTATGGGCAGCCAATATAAAATATGTACAGTTGGCATAATGTGCTCATGCTAACCGCTTGTCTGGATGGGGAAATAGACCAGAATAGCAACTGAAGAATAAGCTATTCCTCATTAGCTACTGCTAGGTAGCTCCACATATGGACACTCTTATCCCGGAGCAAGAGTGCCCTTTTCTTATTGAGCTTAATCCACTTGGAAAGTTAATTAAACTAAATTACAGATAGTCACTCTTATTCCAGAATAGCTTTAGCACTTTAAATTTATATTCTTTCTTACTCCAGAATAACCTCCCCATGAAGACAAACCCTAAGAGGGAATTGTAATATTCAAACTTTGTAGTCAAGTGAGGACACGAAGAGGAGAAAGTCCTAAACAAGTGGGCATGCGAAGAGGAGAAAACCATCTCATATGGACTATCTGATAGTAAGACTTCTGTTTCCCCACAATTGTATCATAATTGCCTTGAGTCTGTATACTGCTTCTCTCAGCTGACATATGAAAAGATATCTTAATAATATTATCATCTATCTATGGTTGTGCTAGTTTAGTAGAACATTTATTTTAAAAAGCTCTGACTCACCATGTCCTCTCATATGGTCCCGTAGTAACCTCTCATTGGCAAAGTGTTTGTCACAATTCTGACAAACAAATACTTGTTCTGAAATTTAATGGGAACTGATCAGTGATGCAATTGATATTTATTGATCTATTTTTAAAACACATAGATTAGGGTTGTCAATTTGATCACTAAACTGTCACAGTAGTGGGACAATTTCAGTATTATTTTGTATTCCAGATGTTTTTCAGAAAAAATCTGGTTTAGGGTAATTGCAGAATTTTAATTAGCAATATATTAATTTTACTCCTAACAAGACAACAATCTGTTAAAAAATATTAACAGTTTTAACCTGCCAAGTTTTCGAGCTTTATGGTTTGAGTACTTATATAGACCCCATTACCATAGCATCCATAGTACCTGAGCACTTTCCAAGTATTTAAAAAAAAAAAAAAAAAGAAATCTCTCTCTTCCTTCCTGGCCTGTAGGAAAAATATCCTGATTAGTTTATAGTTTGTTGAAAGGGTGGTAGGAGAATGTGCTGCAGTGAAGAACATATTGAGTAAAATCTAAGCTCAAGAGAGTGTTTGTCAAGGCTGTATCCCCACTTTGAACTTTAGGGTACAAATGTAGGGGCCTGCATGAGGACTCCTAAGCTTAACTACCAGCTTAGCTCTGGTCCGCTGCCACCATCTTAAGAATTCCCTCCCTGGGAAGCCTTGAGAAACCTTTCACCAATTCCCTGGTGAACACAGATCCAAACCCCCTTGGATCTTAAAACAAGGAGAAATTAACCATCCCCCCTCCTTCCTCCCACCCTCCTTTCACCAACTCCTGGTGAATACAGATCCAAGCCCCCTTGGATCTTAAAACAAGGAGAAATCAATCTGGTTCTTAAAAAAGAAGGCTTTTAATTAAAGAAAAAGGTAAAAATCATCTCTGTAAAATCAGTATGGAAAATAGCTTTACAGGGTAATCAAACTTAAAGAGCTCAGAGGAACCCCCTCTGTCTTAGGTTCAAAGTACAGCAAACAAAGATAAACACTCTAGTAAAAGGTACATTACAAGTTGAGAAAACAAAGTAAATCTAAGACGCCTTGCCTGGCTTTTTACTTACAAGTTTGAAATAGGAGAGACTTGTTTAGAAAGATGGGGAGAACCTGGATTGATGTCTGGTCCCTCTCAGTCCCAAGAGCGAACCACCCCTTAAAACAAAGAGCACACACAAAAGCCTTTCCCCCCCCAAGATTTGAAAGTATCTTGTCCCCTTATTGGTCCTTCGGGTCAGGTGTCAGCCAGGTTACCCGAGCTTCTTAACCCTTTACAGGTAAAAGGATTTGGAGTTTCTGGCCAGGAGGGATTCCATAGCACAGTACACAGGAGAGCTGCCACCCTTCCCTTTATAGTTATGACAGTGTTGCATTTAGTTCTGAAAGTGGTTAGTTCCATGATCATTCAGATCACTTTCAGAAGTGAATTCCATAATTTAAGTCCAGCTCCTGTAAGAGTTCTGTCTCTGGCATTCAACAGCTTCTCCTATTGGTCATCGGTTTCACTGTTCCAATGGAATGCAGTTGCCCTGAGAAGCCATGGGCATGGAGTCAGAGGCAATCTCTATTTTTACAATGGAATGCCACAACTGTCAGGTGGAAAGCCACTATGTTTAAATATGCATCTGAGTGCTCTCTCTCTTTCCCCCATTACCCCAATTCATCATTTATATCAAGCAATCATTGCAAAGCCAAAAGTACTTCCATGCTTCAGGAAGATAATTTCCTTCCTAAAGTCAATTTTGCATTTAATTGACACTTCTGAAAAATAATAATAGGTGTTATATATGTACTGTTATAAACCAGCTCAAAAGTAAATCCCTAAATAAATGTAAATAGAAATAGAGCAAATCCACTTACGATCCTCTGAAACCTGTCGCTTGGCATGATCAAAAAACTTGGTATTATTGGAGAACATCGCTCCACAAGAGGGACAGGCCACCACTCTTTCTTGAGTGTGGGTTCTTAAGTGATCCCATAGCTTGTGCTTTCCTTTAAATGTTCCTGAACAATCTAAACACACATACTATATAAGATTACAGAACAGTTGCACATGAGCACTTTATTTTCTCGAGTACAAACAGGAAAGATTGTATTATATATAGTCCACCAATACATTTTTAGAGGAGCACAACTAAAATGTTTTTAGGAAAAGTCAGAACATTACTACTGCAAACACTACAAAGAGTTCAGTTCTGCAAATGCTACACAGGGCCTGTTCAAAAGCCTACTAAAAAAAATCAATGGAACGATTCCCAGTGACTTCAGTGGGCTTTGGCTTAGGCCAGTGTTGCCCAAACTTTTCCTGTCTGCGTCCCCTGCTCCATTACTCCTCAGCCAAGGTTTCCTCAGCAGAGGAGCTTGAGCTGATGGCAGAGCTGAGGATGGGGGCAGAGCTGGAGCTAGATGCAGAGCTGGCCTGGAGGCGGGGCAGAGGGAGAATGAGGGCAGAGCTGGGCTGGGGGCAGAGTGAAGCTGTGACTGGAGCTGGAGTGGGGGCAGAACGGAGCTGGGGCTGGAGCTAGGCTGGGGGCAGAGCGGGGCTGGATGGTGCTCCCTCCACACCCCGTGGGGGCTGGCCTGGGCCCCACCAAGCGTCCCATTAAAAACATTCCTCCATGCCCCCCCAGTGGGACGTGCCCCCCAGTTTGGGGATTACTGGCTTAGGCAAAATTCCCATTGAAGTTATGTGCAGAACGCCCATTAAATTACTGTTTTTGCATTGGTGTGAAAAAGTTTTAGGGCAGCAACATTGCTACTCTAAGCTCAAAAACATTCCTTCAGTGTAGGACCCCAAGCCTGTGGGTGCTGAAAGTTTTCAACTCCCACTGAGGTCAAATGGGAATTGAGGGTGCTCAGAACCTTGAAGGATTGGACTCTGGCATACTAGGCTTTTAATTAAGTGATTTGGCATTGCTAGTGCAATCCATTTAAACTAATCAAGAGCATACAATGTAGGTAAAGTACTTTAATTATTTAAGATGGCTGGAAAAAGGCTGTATGAAGATATCTAACATATTCCTGTGCTTCATGAAATACTCAGTAAATTTTATAGCGGCACTGAAATTACTAGGGCAATATTCCATATTTTGTAAATTAAATATAGAATGTGAGCTACCTTTCCAGTGACAACAACAAATAGCTTTCTTGTTACTTGAAATGTTTTCTTTCTTAGTAGAGTATGCATGCATGGCAACATGCCGATAAAACCATTCTGGGTTGTTGTAGGTAACCTGAGGACAAAATGGAACCATGAAGATGATGGATAGTGTTGGCAGGAAATCAAATGACAAAAACAAAACACATTGATAGAAGTGATTTCTAGAGAATTTACACAGAGTAAGTGGTGCCTCATCTATTGAAGAAATTTTGAATAGGGCAGTCGATTAATCGCGATTAACTCGAAAAATTAATCGCAATTAAAAAAATTAATCGCATGTTTAAACAACAGAATACCAATTGAAATTTATTAAATATTTTGGATGTTTTTCTACATTTTCAAATATATTGATTTCAGTTACAACACACAATACAAAGTGTACAGTGCTCACTTTATATTATTTTTATTACAGATATTTGCACTGGAAAAATGATAAACAAAAATAGTATTTTTCAATTCAACTCATACAAGTACTGAAGTGCAATCTCTTTATCGTGAAAGTGCAACTTACAAACTTAGATTTTTTGTTACATAACTGCACTCAAAAAACAAAACAATGTAAAACTTTAGAACCTACAAGTCCACTCAGTCCTACTTCTTGTTCAGTCAATCGCTCAGAAAAAGAAGTTTGTTTACATTTACAGGAGATAATGCTGCCCACTTCTTATTTACAATGTCACCTGAAAGCGAGAACAGGCATTTGCATGGCACTTTTGTAGCTGGAATTGCTAGGTATTTACACGCCAGATATGCTAAACATTCGTATGCCCCTTCATGCTTCGGCCACCATTCCAGAGGACATGCTTCCATGCTGATGACAAATTAAATTTGTGACTGAACTATTTGGGGGAGAACTGTATGTCTCCGGATGACCCAACACATGTTCGTTTTAAGAACACTTTCACTTCAGATTGGTACCTTCTTTGCGTTTTGTCAAATGTGAGATTTCTAAAGATAGCTACAGCACTCAACCCAAGGTTTAAGAATCTGAAGTGCCTTCCAAAATCTGAGATAGATGAGGTGTGGAGCATGCTTTCAGAAGTCTTAAAAGAGCAACATTCCAATGCGGAAACTACAGAACTGAACCACCAAAAAAAGAAAATCCACCTTCTGCCAGTGGCATCTGAGTCAGATGATGAAAATGAACATGCGTCGGTCCGCACTACTTTGGATTGTTATCAAGCAGAACCTGTCATCGGCATGGATGCATGTCCTCTGGAATAGTGGTTGAAGCATGAAGGGACATATGAATCTTTAGCAGATCTGGCACGTAAATATTTTGTGACACTGGCTACAACACTGCCATGCAAACACCTGTTGTCACATTCAGGTGACATTGTAAACAAGAAGCGGGCAGCATTATCTCCTGCAAATGTAAACAAACTTGTTTTTCTGAGCGATTGGCTGAACAAGAAGTAGGATTGAGTAGACTTGTAGGCTCTAAAGTTTTACATTGTTTTGTTTTTTGAGTGCAGTTATTTTTTGTACATAATTCTACATTTGTAAGTTCAACTTTCATGATAAAGAGATTGCACTACATTATTTATACTAGGTGAATTGAAAAATACTATTTCTTTTGTTTACTGTGCAAATATTTGTAATTAAAAATAATAATATAAAGTGAGCACTGTGGTAATTGAAATCAAAATATTTGAACATGTAGAAAACATCCACAAATATTTAAATAAATGGTATTCTATTACTCTTTAACAGTGCGATTAATCGCAATTAATCTTTTTAATTGCTTTACAGCCCTAATTTTGAACATACCAGAGTTGCTTCCATATATACCAGATCCTGAATTTGGCCTTAACTGTAGTACAGGGATTGGTAACCTTTGGCACGCGGCCCGTCAGGGAAATCCACTGGCAGGCTGGGACGGTTTGTTTACCTGCAGCGTCCACAGATTCGGCCGATCGCAGCTCCCACTGGCCGCGGTTCGCTGTTCCAAGCCAACGGGGGCTGCGGAAAGCGGTAGCCAGCACATCCCTCGGCCCACGCTGCTTCCCACAGCCCCCATTGGCCTGGAACAGCGAACCGCGACCAGTGGGTGCTGCCATCGGCCGAACCTGCGGACGCTGCAGGTAAACAAACTGTCCCGACCTGCCAGCGGATTTCTCTGACAGGCCGCGCGCCAAAGGTTGCTGATCTCTGCTGTAGTAGCTTAAAGATACAGTCAGTCAATTTTAGTCCAGTGGCTCCCGACTTTTCTATTGTTGGAAGCCCCCTCTTCTGATGGGTTAGCAAATAGGAGCCCTCACCATCCCATCGTACCATGCCCTGGTATAGTTGTCACTGACTCTCCATATTTCTTTACCTAGTCTCATTTTTTAAAATTGTTTTTCTCTCTCTCTCCTTTTTCCCTAGATTCTCTCTTTTTCCTTGTCTTTTTGCTTCCCCCCTACACTCTCTCGCTCACCAGAAACCTACTAGTGCAGGCAGGGCCGGCTCCAGGGTTTTGGCCGCCCCAAGCAGCCAAAAAAAAATAAAAATAAAATCCGCGATCGCAATCGCGATCTGCGGCGGCAATTCGGCGGAAGGTCCTTCGCTCTGAGCGGAGTGAGGGACCGTCCGCCGAATTGCCGCTAAATAGCTGGACCTGCCGCCCCTCCTCCGGAGGGCCGCCCCAAGCACCTGCTTGCCAAGCTGGTGCCTGGAGCCGACCCTGAGTGCAGGTTGCTCAGAGTGGGCATAAGTGGCACATCATCTCAGTAACTTTAGATTTAAGTGTTGCTGCAGTGGAGGAGAGAGAGAAACTTAAGGGCTGCTGCCTGAGCCAGATGGCTTGTACCATTGAGTCGATCTGCAGTTTGATACATTAGGAGCCACCACAGAAGCTGGGAAGCAAAATGGGTGATTTTCAAGGAGGACTTTATCCGTTGTTATGGGAGTGGAAATGGTTAGCAGCTTTCCCTGCCCCCTCTCTCTCTTTTGTTTTGCATCTTACCCCACCTTTCTGGACTAGTCTAGCCTGCCTACCAGGTTGGGAAACACTATTTTAATTAATACAATTCATAACAGCAGTTTAAGCTTGAAGGAACATGTATAGAAATATTTAGCAAAGTGCTACATATAGAAAGAAATAAAATTAAAGGGCATATTTCATCTTAATAAGTGAAGAAAACCATACAAAAAACCCCAATTACCATAAAAACTGATTATATGCTAACTGAAAATGAAGTTACTACCCCATCAGAACAACTCCCATAAATGTTAAAGGTTTTTTTAAATATATGTTCTACAAAAGAGAACAGGTTTCCTGACATGCACAACCAGAGCGGCTCTTGATTCCTGGCCTGAAAAAATGTGAGATCTGAGTTTTATTGGTATTTCTTAAAATTAAAGGCCTAGCAACATGCAAGATCACTTCTAGTAAGTACATACACAAGGACTTTTTTTTTTAAACCTTTATATTTTAAAAACAACAATCACAGTGGGAAAAGTAACCTCCATAAGTTATGGGGCTCAATGGAAATGGAACCTGCAGGTCAAGCTATACAACCAATTATCTTATGATATAATTAAGTATCTGTTTTGGTTTTTAATTTTAAAGAGAAATGAATGTTTGTGAAAGGTTCTATATTTCATACACTGAGCCCAGATCCACAAAGGGACTTAGGTGCCTAGAAAACCACAAGAACAACACTGTGATCCACAAACCCTGAGTTAAGCACCTAAGGCTTCCTATACAATGAATGGGGAGAGATAGGTGCCTAAGGCCACCCACAAAACTCAGCACACTAGGCGCAGAACTGCTTAAGCTAGTCAATGGGAGATGCCAATGAGAGGGGATCCAAGCCTCACCCTTGTCATGAAGATAAGTGTCTAATTCTGTGCTGCAGGGAGGTGTCTATTTCTGCTTGTGATCCACAACTGGGAGAAGATAGGCATTCCTCTGCCTAAGTCACACGTGGGGCCTGATCTGGCAGACATGCTCTGAGGCCACCAACTCTGCACAGAAACACTGTGGGTGGGAGGGAGCGAACCCCAGTTCAAGTCTTGCCTCTGCCCAGTGAAAAGGTATTTGAACAAGGGATTTACCTCCTCTCAGGTGCATGTTCTAATCACTAGACTATTCTCATGTGGATCTCCCTCATTCTTTCCTTTTGAAGCTGTTCTACTTTAAATAACTGAATATTAATTTGGCCAGAGAAAGAGTGAGAATCATTACAGTTCAGTGGGGACTTAAACTGCTGGCCTCCAGTATTCTGGGTGAGTGCCCTAACCACTGGGATAAAGATAAAAGGTTCCTTCATTACCTGCCAACCCCCCATTATTGGTGTGGAGTTAGGTGGCCTATGAACACGCTTACTGGATTGAGCACCACATGCAATTTAGTCAGAGGGATGCCTATCTTCCTAAGTCATGATTCACGTGGAGGCTTAGATGGCAGAAAGGCATCCATACCATAATGGTCCTCTAGCACCTGGATCAGAGCACTGGCCTTATAAACCAGGGTTTGTGATTTCAATTGTCATTAAGGACTTGTACCAATAATTTTCAGACTAGATAGTCACAATGATCCCTTCTGGCCTTGGAATACATGAACACCTACAATGAGGCAGCAATGTGCTTGCCCAGAGGCAAAAACATAGGCACCTAAGTAACTTTTACTGCAAAAATTTAGATGCTGAGTGACTTTAGGTACCTACAGGGTTAGGCAGCAGCCAAGCAGGGGTTTTGTGAATCACAGTGGTGCCTAAAAATGCTATACAGGCACCTAAATCTGGGGGTTAGGCACCTAAGTACCTTTGTAGATCCAGGCCCTGGTGACTAAAATCCTCTATTTATACAGGTAGAGGTTGTTGTGACAGACTAAAACTAATCTGTCAATAATTCTTATTTGATGTAGAAATGCATTGACATGAAGAGAGAAACCGAAGAATTATATGAGCACTGTCTCTTTAAATTCAGAGCCAAAGGAACAAATGAGCTTTTTTCTAGGTTAACATCTCAGAGGAGAGACAGACCAGGATCCAGTCACCCTTTAGGCAGACTAAGATCAAAGGGCTTGTGAAATACTACATCTTGAGAGAAGAAATTGGGAAATACCTCCAGTGCTAGATAAGGGGAATGTTAATAGAAACATGGGACAATAGCCATTATACAGAGAATGGAAACTATTCCACTCCCTCAAGATAGTACATTTTTTCAAACATTACACTGACTTAAATTCAGCAATGAGCTCCATGTAGGCAGACCTTTGTGCCTCTGCAGAGCACCAGTGAGGTCCATGGGGGGTACATCTCATGGACTTCACTGAAGAATCAGGATAATTGTTTGTACCCGCAACCAGAATTGGCACACCTTCAAAATGAAAAATGGTCACAAATGAGAAACAACTGAAAGCGGGGAGGGGGGAAAAACATACTTGAGACTCCTGAAACCATGTGACTTTGAAAGGCCAAAGGAGTGGGGGGCGGGAAGGGGAGAGAGAGCTCTTCTTGAAATGTAAGCATCTGCTTGTTTTTAATTCTGTAGAATTAAACTTGAAGTGAACCTATCTAGATGAGATTTGCAGAGAGAGTTTCATAGCGTTTCTGTGTTCTGCATGTCAAGTCTTTTGTTTTAATCTGATTCTCTCTCTATTCTTAATTTACTTATTTGTTATTAAACTATTTGAGTCAAAGACTGATGTTTGTAAATTTCATGAAAACCAACCGGGGGGGAAGGGGAGACAACAACCTTTAAAAAGAGGTAGTAGTGAAGGAAGGTTGTCTGAAGCCTACCTTGCTCAGTGTTCTCAATCTAAAGGGCATGCCTAAGGAGTCTCTTCCAGATGGAGCATCAGTTGCAGGGCTTCAACCCAATGGATGCAAAGAGAATGCCCACTGACAAGAACTGAGTTTAGGGGGCCAAAGATGACAGACACAATGCTTCCCCATGCTGCCCTACCAATATGGTCCCACACTGCTAGGATGAATACTTCTAAGGGGCAAAAGGTAGTTTAGTTTCAGAGCCCATTCAGTCATTACCAACTATTCTAACACTGGCAAAAAGGATATTAATTGGTGTAAAATGTAATCGTTCTCTTGATATAGAAAGACAAAGTGACGAGGTGATATCTTTTATTGGACTAACTTCTGCTGGTGAAAGAGACAAGCTTTCAAAGAGCTCTTCAACAGTCAACATGGGTACAACAACACTGCAAACAACTCTTGATACAGACATTGTCCACTAGGAATTGGATGGAGACCACTAATTAATTTTACATATTCCACCAAAGAGCTGTCAGAAGCTGACATTTTTCAGTTGCTCCCAGGCTATATCAGATTTGAATTAGTGACCTAAAGATGAAAGGCTCATTAACAAATCCTCTGAGCCATCCAATTTCAGAATCATTAAAAGGCTGCAAATATCTGAGAGAAAATATCAGATATTCTTGTCTAATTTTTGTTCCAGAAAATGGTCAAAGTAAATACAGTGGGTTTCTTAATTAGGTTGATGGCATATTCATTAGCTTAGAATATTTCTGGTTACGTTACAATTTTGTATGATATATTTCTAAAACACAGAAAAAGCAGTGCAGTGGGAAAAAAGTCATTTTAGTTCTAACAAAAGGAAGAATACTTGGATTTAAAGTAAACTGGTTGCAGATGCTAAAATAAATGGTGTTTATATACAGTATATACTTTGGCAAACACTATCACAATAATTACCATTTCTACTTATGAAGATGGAATGGAACAACACTCAATAATAAATAATAAAACAAAATTCAGTAGTGAAACCTCTCTTTTCCAGGTGCTGGAACTGGGGAAGGTTAAGGTAGAGTTAGGAGACAAGAAAAGAAACAACATTCATTTCACTTACATCACAATTCTCCCATTGGCAAACATACATCTCTGAAATCCTTGGTATCTGATTCTGGTTATGGCTGTTCTGGGAACATGCTGGCCAATCTTGGTGTGATGCCCTTAACTGAGAGCCTAAGAATTTCAACTTGGTGTGGTAACTATGAAAATTTACATGGGTTACCAGCTCCCTGGGACCTGTAGCCAAAAATTCACAATTTCTCCACCAACAATGGTACTGCTCTAAACACAAAAAAAAGAAATAATGTTTCATGGAATGTTGTATTAAGTTAGGAACTGTGTGAGACAATCTTCAAGAAGGTACCAGAAGATAACTATTACTTACATTTTAGGTGAGGATCTACTGAACCATCGGTAAAACTAGTAGAGTGACGGATACCGGCTATGTTCAGATAATTAAGTATCTAAAGATTTTAAGCCTCAGCAATGAACAAGATTTTTCACCTTCTCAAAACTCATAATTCTAGTGAAATTTTCCCCAGAAAGAGAGCACTGGACTTAGAATGTCTGAGTAAGGTCTATTGAATGGTTGTACAGTGTTACTGTTTACTATTAGAAAGACAAGTTGGGCGAAGTAATATCCTTGTCTGTGTAATATCCTGGGACCAACATGGCTACAAGAACACTGCATATAACTGATCACACATTACCACAATATAAATGATAATAGTAAAGACTTGAGGCCTGATTCTTAGGCACTGGACTTCTAGCAAATGACAGTCCTTGCTCCAAAAATCTTGGTTGTGTTTTCAAATTTTACAGTCAATCTGCACTCCAGCCTGTAATAGCCAACCAAACTTTTAATTATTCAATAATCTTTCCTGAACCCACGTGAGTAGTTAGTTATATAGTACAAACTGGATTATCCAAATGTAATGGGAACAATGAATAAGTATAGAAACACAAAGGAAATTCCAAGGCACAGAAAGAAGAGGATCTCTCTATTTCAGATAAAAGAGTTTCTGATCATTTTGGTTTGGATATTTGAGTGTTGCACAATATTTGATTTTTGACAGTGCAAATCTTGAATTCAAAAGGACATTGTTAAGAATACCTGATACGGAAACTGGCTGTTTGGCATTTTTAGTTTGCAGGCTTTCACACGGTCATCACTCTGTTCTGCCTACTTGTTTCAATCCAGTGAGTTGGCAGAGGTTCTAAATTTGAAAGGGACTCCATGTGGGTGCAAGGATCTGCCCACATCTATTCAATTGCAGGATAGGGCCCACGTAATAAGGCAACAAAACAAAAATTAACACAGGAATTACTTGCGTCTCTCATGCCCAGTACTCCAGTAGGTTATACGCAGTTGTAACATCATAGAATTATTCATTCTGGAGCACCAAAGCAACCCAGGACAAGCCCAGTGGTTTCGGAGGACCAATACAGAATGTTGTAAAAATTAGCTTTTTACTTACGTATGAGCTAAAATACTGTCTGGATAGAGGAGGCATTGAGTGGATATTGTTGTTGGTTCAATTTTACTTTCCATTTACTGTACCTTTAATTAAACTCGGTCTAGTATTTACACCAGCAATTAAACATGTGAAAATAGTGTTAAGACTAAAGGTCAGGATTCATAAGAGCTACAATAGCAATATTAAAAATATCTACTACACTATTGCTATTACAGTCTACATAGACTGCTTACAATTTTCTGTGGGATACAACTTCTGAGGTTTTCTTGTAAGTAACTGTAATACCATTAGAAGAAAGATGCAAGATATATAACAGGAGCAAGTAAATACTGTTTATTTATTCACAGAAAACAGTTACAACAAAAGGGCAAGTTTCCTCTAAGTTGATTTCTCCAATCTCCACCTTAAAGTTAGAAATCTTAAGTAACACATAAGTTCCAGAAATCCAAAAATTCTTTTTTGAGACTACCAATTTAAAAAAAAACACACACCACACTTTAGCCCTCATTCAAGAAGAAATTGAGTTTAAACTTCTGATTCATGACTTCAGCTACATTAGCATTATTTCAATTTTAGTACTGTATCTTTAGAAAAAGAGAAAACCAGCAAAATCAGATGCAAATAAAAAAACAAAAATAGGCCCCAGTCGTGCAAGTGTCTCTGGTGTGTAGTCACCAGCACACACATAGAGTCCTATTGACTTCATTTTACCAGCAAAGTGCCAGTGCAAGATCAGGGCCACAAACTACAAAAATCTTCAAAACTGCAATATTATCTGTATGGTGAATGAGACAGATATATTACCTGTTCTTTCCAGAGGATGTTGTCGATACTCTTTCAAGTGTTCTGCAATGTGGTCACAAAATTCCTCCATACATTTTCCTACAAAAAGGCATTCTTCCCATTCACACAGTAATATCAGTTCAGAGTTCTTGAATTTGTTTCCAGGGGCCATTACTTAAAATCCTTTAAAGTACAGAGTAGTTTTCTGTGTTATTAGATTTACAGAAATTTCTCTTATGAAAACAACCATCATATAATTTACCCCCCCCCCATTATGATATGTACCTTTTTATAACTGGGTGGATAATATCTTCCAGACTCTATGGCCTAATCTTGCACACACACAGGCCTCGTCTACACACAAAAGTTGTACCTCTTTAACAATACTGATATAGTTCAACCAGTACACACACACAGTGCGGGCACCGTACTGATATAAATCTGTTTATACTAGTATAGCTTATTCCCATATAGAAAGGGGACTAAGCTATACTGATATAAGCACCTGTATACCAGCATAAACATACTAGGGATTTGTACTGGTATAACTATATATTGGTAAAAAAAACCCTCATCCCTAATCAACAGAATACCAATACAAAATCTGTGTGAAGATTAGGCCTTAGGCAGACGAGTGAGGAAATGGGCCCTAAATCAGTTTCTCTATTTCCTCATCATGAAATTATATAGATACTCAGTGCATCTGCGGACAGGATTTCTGTACTTTGACTAGACAAAGTGCTAGCAAAAGGAACAGAAGTTAACTAACCACCGTTTTCCAAAATCGCTGACATACCTGAAAACGTTACACCGGGCTGGGAAGGCGCCTCTAACAAATGGTAACGGTGCCATCTCAGCGGTTACACCGGATCGTACCGGTCAGTGTCACTGACTCCCTGACCTGTGGCGCAGAACGCAGTGATGGTCCTGAATCCCCCCCGCCCAGGTCATCGTTCATTTTCAAATGAATTAATAAGTTACCCAAATTTGGAATAATTAAAAAAAAAAAAGTTCGTTATTGTTTTAATTGCGCCCTATCTGCACCCAAAAGGGGCCAGCCCGCTGCCAAGGGGGCGGGGCAGACTGTCCCCTGGGAACAAGGCTGGGCAGAGCCAGACCGACTCTCTGGAAAGGACTGCGGGACCGGGGCCGGCATTTCCGGAGGGCTGCGTCAGAGCTGCCGCGGTGCCGGCTGCGGGAACGGCTCAATGCATTTGTATTACAACGGTCCAAATATGCCCCTTTGCCCGTCACTGCTCCCAACCCCCCGCTCTAGGGACTCATGGACGGAGGCAGGGGGAGCGCTGACATTAAGAGGCGCCTCCCCCATCATTAGCCCCACGGACACGGGGGGGGGGGGGCGCTCAGAGCCAGGGCAAGGGGGAGGAGCGGACACAGACACGCGCTGGCCAAGCCGCGCGGACGCACCCGTCAGGGGCGGGAAAGCACCTTAGAGCAGCCAGAGCCCGCGCACCTCTGCCGCTCTGGCAGCGGGATCGAGGCTCCCGCCTTGCCCGGATAACTCACGTGCCTAGTGAGGTGGGAAGGAGCTACTGCAGCCAATCAAGGCGGAGGTGGCTCCTCCTTATAGCAGCCCGGAGGGCGGGGCCGAGGCTCCGAGTGACCGAGTCCCCTGCGGTGCCGCCCCTTCGCCTCAGCGGGTGGGGGGAGGAGTACGCGCAACCGCCGCCAACGGATGAACTCGGTGCTCCTCGCTCCATCTCCTCCCCCCGCCTTGACTGAGCGCCGCCTCCTCGATCAACCACCCCAGGCCCTCTGGGATCGGCCCCGCCCCCTTCCACGCACCAGAGGGAGGCGGCGACATGGAGGAGTCCAGCCCCGCCCCCTCATGAAATGAACAAGCCAGGGGCGGGGTCGCCTCCGCTCCCCCAGCCCCCCCACGTGCCAGTGAGCTGCCCCTCGCCCCCCCCCCCGCTGCCGTCACCCAGTCCCCAAGCCCCTCTTCTGCTGTGCTATGTGTGATACAAACCAATCACCCACAGGCAGGGTGGTGGCCTTTCCTGGCTCATTGCCACCCTTTCCCCCCACGCACGGCCCAGATTTCCCTAGTGTAGACAGGGCCACAGATGCCACCTACTTGGCCTTCATAGACTGCTTGGATTTGCATGGGGTAAAATTTTAAATTGTATGTGGGATTTGTAAATTATCAGCTGTGACATTGTATGTGACACAAAAAAGGCGGCGTGCAACTTGCGTTAAATGTAATCACTCCTCTTTGATCCTGCAAGTGATCGACCCGCTCATCTAGAAAGGGTGGATGCAGTGTTCCTATGGTAACTGAGTGATTGTAAGAATCAGGTTTTCCAAAAGGAACAGCGGGGTCCTGGGCTGCTAGGTTTAGGCCTAGGTCAGCTGTGTTGCCCAGTCTAGAAAGCCATTGCTGTGCTAAGTAACATTAATGTTTAATTTTACTTATGTGTAGACTTGTTGAAGTCAGTGTAGGACTACTCAGGATCTTAAAAGTTATTCATGTGATTAAGCATATATAGGATTGGGGCTTTATAGACTGACTCGTGCTTAGTTAAACATGTAAACTTTGCGCGATTGGGGCTTTAGATTATAAATACCTTGGGGCAGGCACTATCTCTTACCATGTGACTGTATAATTCCATTACAATAAGGCCCTTGTCCTGACTGGTGCTATCACAATACATACACATAATAAATGTGATACGTTGTTGATGTCATTCCATTTTCATGGTAGCCTACTGAGCAATTGCTGTTTGTGACTTTTATTTTTCCATTATATATCTTTGTTTTGCCTGTTTTCAATAGAATTTTTTTCTAGGCCAAATAGAGTATTGCATGGAACAAAGGAAAAAAAGAGATCAGGTAGGTGAGGTAATATGCAGATGGACGCCCTGATCGTCGGAGCCCTGGGTGCCTGGGACCCCTGCAACGAGCGTGTGCTGCGGACCTGCGGGATCGGTCGACGCTACGCACGGCTCATGTGGCGCCTCATGGTCTTGACACCATCCGGTGGTCCAGGGACATCTACACCGGCCACCGACAGTACCAGGAGGCATGAGCTGGAGCGACATCATGCATCGACTACGAGAAAGGGACTGAGAGACTTTTTCCGTTGGACCATATGAACTGGAACCATAAACTCACTGAACGTTAAATCTCACCAAATGAGGGTCAATGCATCCTCATCATCATACCTACTCATTATACTCCACACCTGAACATAGCCATTATATGAACAACATACCCTCATATCTCAATGTCTGTACTTTGACCCGTTAACCTTTTACCCCCCAATAGGGGATATTGCTGATTATGTATTCCTTATACCACCCAATCTTAAACCGAACTTCGCACCCATTGATTATAATCTGTACGTTATTCCCTGATAAGCAGAAATTTCTATGCTTAAACTCTGTACCATTCACTTTTTAAAAAATATCATATTAATACATTTTTTAAATCTTTTATTGGACCAACTTCTGTTGTTAGAAGGTACAAGCTTTCAAGCTACACAGAGCTCTTCTTCAGATCTGGGGAAGGAAATCACAGTGTCTGAGCTAAATACAGTTTGGGATCGATTGTTAAGTATAAGGGGTAATGCATGTTGTAGGCCATTACTAGAAATCGGCAATTGAGGGTTAGATTGTTACGCATACTGGGTTTGAAGTGGGCAATTAAGGGTAGCAGGCAGGGTAGTGTGTTAAAGATTGTTGTAATGAGCCATAAAACCAATGTCCCTGTCCCTGTTAGGTTTTTGTTATCTAGCAGCGTTTTGAATTTAAATTCCCAGGCTCGCCTTTTGAAGGTGTTGTGGAGTTTTCCTTTGAGGATGTGATCACATGCCTTACTTCACACCTAGTCCCACTAAGGCCTGGGCTACACTTGCGAATGTACAGCGCTGTGAGTTAAACCTGGCTTCGTACAGCTGAGTAGGGAAAGTGCTGCAGTCTGTCCACACTGACAGCTGCCCAGCGCACTGTTGTGGCCACATTTGCAGTATTTGCTGCGCCATTGGGAGCAGTGCATTATGGGCAGCTATCCCACAGAGCACCTCTTCCCATTCTGGCGCCGTGGGTTGTGGGAAGGGGACATGGGTGCGGGGCATTCTGGGTCCTGTCCCAACGCCCCGTGATGCATCGCTTCGCATCCCAGAAATCCCTTTGTTTCTGTCCACATTTGGCGCCATCTTTCAACGGTTTCTGTGCAGCGCGATCTGTTGTCTGCGGGAAATGGAGCCCGAACTGCTGAGGCGTATGCTGACTTATCTCGCCAGCACATCACATTTGGCTTTCGAACTATTCCTTAAGATCCAAAGTGACAGTGAGAGTGAGGAGTCCGATGATGCTATCGAGCCGCGTAATGCGTACGACACGAAATTGCTTGTGGCATTCACGGACATGCTCAGCACCGTGGAACGCCACTTTGGGGCTCGGGAAACAAGCACCGAGTGGTGGGATCACATCGTCATGGAAGTCTGGGATGACGAGCAGTGGCTGCAGAACTTTTGGATGAGAAAAGCCACTTTCATGGGACTGTGTGAGGAGCTCGCCCTCACCCTGCGGCGCAAGGACACGAGATTGAGAGCTGCTCTGCCAGTGGAGAAGCGGGTGGCTATTGCAGTCTGGAAGCTGGTAACTCCAGACAGCTACCCGTCGGTCGCAAACCAGTTTGGAGTGGGAAAGTCAACCGTTGGAATCGTGTTGATGCAAGTTTGCAGGGCCATTAATCGCATCCTACTCAGAAGAACTGTGACTCTGGGTAACGTGCAGGAAATAGTGGATGGCTTTGCACAAATGGGGTTCCCTAACTGTGGAGGGGCGATAGATGGGACGCACATTCCTATTCTGGCACCACCCCACCTAGGATCCGAGTACGTTAATCGGAAGGGGTATTTCTCTATGGTTCTCCAGGCACTTGTGGATCACCGTGGGCGTTTCATTGACATTAACACAGGCTGGCCCGGAAAGGTGCGTGACGCATACATCTTTCGGAACACTTGGTTGTTCAGGAAGATGCAGGCTGGACTTTTTTCCCAGAGCGGAAGATCACGGTAGGGGAAGTTGAAATGCCCATTGTGATCCTTGGAGATCCCGCTTACCCGTTAATGCCGTGGCTCATGAAACCCTACACAGGAAGCCTTGACAGCAGCAAGGAACGGTTCAACTACAGGCTGAGCCGGTGCCGAATGACTGTGGAGTGTGCCTTTGGCCGTTTAAAGGGCCGCTGGCGATTTCTGTAGGGGAAGCTGGACTTGGCCAAAAACAGCATCCCTGCGGTTATATCCGCGTGCTGTGCCCTCCATAATATTTGTGAAGGGAAGGGTGAAAGCTTCACTCAAGCATGGACCTCCGAGGTTGAACACCTGGAGGCTGAATTTACACAGCCAGAGAGCAGGGCTATTACAGGGGCCCAGCGTGGGGCTGCAAGGATTAGGGATGCCTTGAGGGAGCAATTTGAGGCTGAAAACCAGCAGTGATATCTGGTGCCCTGCACGGGAGTGAAGTGCAGTAGTTCCAATCTTTAGGAATCAGTGTTTGCTAAGCAGACAAGCAGACTTGCAGTGCCTGTTTATTTCCTGGGCTAAGGAGTCTTTTACTTTATGCAATAATAAAGAATGTTTTCAAAGCCAAAAAATCCATTTATTGAAAAGAAAAAAAAATTATTGAAAAGAAACAAGGGGGTGGAATGGGGAACGGTACAATCACAGATTCGCGTATGTCCTGTCTGGTGTGCTGTGCAGTGAGTGCTGCACTTCAGGATAGCTATACTGCATAGTGATGGGGGTTGAGTGCAGCGGGTAAAGGTCGTGGTTTTCAGGGCTGGGTGGTGAAGATACTGGTGTTGGAGGCAGCTGGTGGTGTGAAGAACACGGAAGTTGGGGAAAGTGGGTTGGAGGTGACAGTGGGGCACAACGGAAAGAGTTTTGGGACAAGGGCTGCAGGGGGGGTGGCGTTTGCATTTGCGGTACTGCTCCTCTTTCTGCATGGCTATGAGCTCCTGGATAGCATCTGCTTTGCGCTCCAGGATGCTTATGAGCCAATCCGTGCTTTGCTGCTGGTGCTCCGTGCTTTGCCGCCGGTGCGCTGCGTTTTCCTGGCGGATCCTGCTTTCTCTCTCCCTCCAGTTCTGTGCTTTCTCATTCTCTTTAATAGATTGCCGCATCACTTCTTGCAGCATGTCTTCTTTGCTTTTTCGCGGTCTCTTCCTGAGTCTT